ATCCTTGTCACTTTCACCTGTTATTGTATATTTGTATTCTTATTATAATATTTTATTGATGATTTTTGCATTGCAGAGAGAATTATGGTTGTGAAGTTGTTTGCTTCACTGCTGATGTTGGCCAAGTATGTTCTGAGTTTTAAATTCATTTTCTGTAATTGAGATTTTTGTGTAAATTGTGTTGGAAAATGTGTTTTAAGGTCATAAGCTTCTGACGAGGGGAAATACTTTATGCAATTTTTGTTACAATGCCGCATCATCTTAACAACACTAAATTTAATAGGGTATAAAAGAATTGGAAGGTTTAGAAGCGAAAGCAAAAGCCAGTGGGGCCTGTCAGTTAGTGGTAAAGGACTTAAGAGAGGAATTTGTTAGAGATTATATATTTCCTTGCCTGCGTGTTGGTGCAGTTTATGAGAGGAAGTATTTGCTTGGGACCTCAATGGCCCGCCCTGTAATTGCAAAGGTACTTTTGCTCTAAGTTTAATATATTTATCTTCCTTGGTAAGGCCATTTCTTCTGTTAGCTCTTAGTGCAGTATTCCCTCTTTTTATATTGAAGAAGAATTATAATGACAATGATAGTGGAATATACTTATCTAGTTATCTTTATTTCCCCATTATATAAACATAGATTGATTGATATCTACTGATTGATAGGCGATGGTTGATGTTGCCAAAGAAGTTGGAGCTGATGCTGTCTCTCATGGGTGTACAGGGAAAGGAAACGATCAGGCATGTCTTACTATTAGTCTCACAACACTAATTATGTCATTTATTTTATGCTAACACTTTACTATGTAAACTTTTAGGTTCGATTTGAGCTCACTTTCTTTGCTCTGAACCCCAAGCTAAATGTTGTGGCTCCATGGAGGGAGTGGGATATAACGGGGAGAGAAGATGCTATTGAGTATGCTAAAAAGCATAATATACCTGTTCCCGTGACAAAGAAATCCATATATAGCAGGGACAGGAATCTTTGGCACCTAAGCCATGAGGTATGTCTAATGATTTGTCATTTTCTTTTGGCCTATTTAGTCACTGAATTTAAGGTCAAAACATTGATGATCTTTGAATGTAATGGATTTGAATCTTCTTATATTACATTACATGACCATTAGGAGGAGTGATAGAGAACAAAGCACTATCTCCTCCCATAGTCATGTAACATGAGAAGACCCAACTTTGGAGGCGAGTGGTTTACTATTATTCTGTTTGTTGTGTGGAATCAAAATGCACCATTTTTTAACCTCATGCTCTATTTGTTCTATTATGGTAATACATCAAACATAGAATGTTTCCCTGTTTTAACATGTTTACCATGCAATACCTCACATGTCTACTAGTACTAAACACTACCTTTATGTTGATAACTGAACTGTCTCATGTTGGCATCTGAAATCAAGTCTCCATTCCTATTTCTTCTAGACTATCAAGTATTCCATGGCTCAAAATTAAACTCAACTTATTGTATGAAAGTGCTCCAACATTCATATTCATTCCAGGACTAGACATTACCCTCGTTGACTATTTATGAATGCATTTTCCATGTACTCCCTCTACCCAAATATAAGCAGCAAAAAATTATGTATAGTGGTCAAATGTAAGTAACTCTTAACTAATATTCCCTTGTTTAACGATACTGTTTGTAAAATATCCTTCATTTAATTGATATTCTAATTTTAACATTCTTTTTAAATTCTTCATATCAAATTCCAAGGAAGGGCAATTTAGAAGGGAGTTTATTTTTAAAATGAGATTAACAAAATTAAATCATGTTAACTAACTTGCTTAATTAGTGTGAATTATTTTACTTTTTTTTTTTGCTTATATTTGAGTCCAGATAGAGTATTTTTTTCCTGAACAGACCCTCATTTTTTTCTTCCGATAATTTTAAGTCTCTATAACTTGTGAATCATCAAATTGAATACACAGCATCATTTCTATGCTCTATTGCGAGAAGTTGCTTCACTTTATCTTGATCTAGGCCTGTGCTTTATGTACTGAGCTCCAAGAACTATTTTGGAAATGACTTGTTACTGTTATGCTATCTGTGATATTGAAGGGAGATATTTTGGAAGACCCAGCTAATGAGCCTAAAAAAGACATGTACATGATGTCAGTAGACCCTGAGGATGCTCCTGATCAAGCAGAGTAAGCTTTCTTGTGATTTCACTTTTTATATAACCTCCAAGTTTCTGTTATACTTTTAAAAACGTGGTACTTTACATTTTTAACGAGTGCATCATGCCCTGCAGATATGTGGAAATTGGGATAGAGTCAGGGCTTCCTGTTTCAGTCAATGGGAAGATTCTTTCACCGGCAACATTACTTGCTGAGCTCAATGAGATTGGTGGAAAGCATGGAATTGGCCGGATAGACATGGTTGAGAATCGGCTGGTAGGTATGAAGAGCCGTGGAGTTTATGAAACTCCTGGTGGAACCATTCTGTTTGCTGCAGCACGTGAGTTGGAGTTTTTGACACTTGATCGAGAAACAATACAAGTCAAAGATTCATTAGCCCTTAAATATGCAGAGTTAGTGTATGCTGGAAGATGGTTTGATCCGCTTCGGGAGTCCATGGATGCCTTTATGCAGAAGATCACAGAGACCACAACAGGTTCTGTGACTTTGAAATTGTACAAAGGTTCTGTGACCGTAACCAGTCGAACAAGTCCCTTTAGCCTGTACAGGCAAGACATTTCATCATTTGAGAGTGGGCAGATATATGATCAAGCTGACGCTGCTGGCTTCATTCGGCTTTATGGTCTTCCAATGAGGGTCCGAGCAATGCTTGAGCAGGGCATCTAACTGTTGATTTCATTTCAGCATGTACTATTTCATTGTCCATTTGCTTGTTTAGAAATGGTGGATTGAAGCTAGAGTACTGTGGATTGTTGGTAGATCTCTCGAATCCTAATAAAATTAGTATTTAATATTCATTCTGATGTTCCAAAAAGTCTTTGTTCTGACTATTATTGTTATTAGTAGTGACAGTATTAGTATAGAATGAAAAAAAATCCTGTTTATTAAGTCACTCGAGAGGACTCATGTCTGTAAAATGTGTCAAGAATCTAAACTACATAAGGTTTAGATTTAGGATATTTTTGAAAAGCTAAAACTGACGTCAATGATAAAATAGCTTAAAACGAGTACAATAGTATCGCGCCAAAAAAGAATTTGTCTTCTTTGCATGATACTACTATTGTACCTGAGATTACGACTGTCTCCCTAAATTATATGCCTATGATAAACAATGCATCATGCTTGAAGACGGACCCAAAAGAATTGATCTATTCGGACTCCAAAGCAATAGTCGAACCATTGCATAAATTTGTTCTAAAAAAACTCTTTTAGAATTTAGAAGTTAGCATTTTATTTCGAGCTTGTAAAAGAGCTTTAATTTTTTTTTTGGGGGATAATAATTGAAATCTGTTATAAGTGTTCAAATAAAAAAAATATTAACCAAAGTAATACATGTTGGATTTCTTAAAACAAGGTCTTCTTCGCCATGTGATTTGAGTTAAAAAATTTGTATCCTTCTATGAAAATTGACATTTTACTTTGCCTTTGATATATTTTTCATTCAACTTATTGGTCATTTTCATTTTACACAGAAAGATACCAAATTAAACAAATTTCATTTTCAAAATCAGAATAATTAACGAAGAATTTTTCATATTTCAATAACTAAATGCTCGACGCATACAATTTTGGAAACCAATTAATTCAAGAGTTTACTCCAAAGTAGAATTGTAATATACTACTCATATTCACACGATGCTTGAGAGGGATGTGTTTAGCCATCATATGTAATTAGAGAATGAAGCTAAAATAACGATCATAATTTGAAAAATGACTATACATGTTAGATAATTTTGTTAAAATCAATAAAACTCATTTAAATGATTTCTATATCGGAGAAAGGCTTAACATCCATCCCATGGGACGAGTGTACGGTGATATTTATCATTAATTAATCATATGTTATTTAATTGAAAAATGATATTTGGAAAGAGAAAAAAATTGAATATATAAGAAATGATGTGATGAAAATAGATAAATATTAAAAAAATTCTTTTAAAGATTCTTATATATGCATCACTACTCTTTAATTTCTTGTTAAAGAAATGCTAAGATGGACAACTCTAACATGTGGTCTATCATGTACGGTGTACGTACTAGTTTTATTAACCATACTCAGATTCAACTCATTCTCACGATAACATAACACTAGCCTTCCTCTTACTTTTAATGTAATATATGTGAAAATCAAAAGATAAAAAAAGTTGAGTCTAAAGTTGCCACATGTGATTTCCATTACCAAGTGCAATTTGCTGTGCCTATATAGTTAGTAATAGTAATGTACCGTTTCCTATGCATCCTTTTACGTCCATGAATGGTAGTAATGTAATAAATATACTGTGTTGAACTTCTAGCTTCTTATAAACAATGGGGCAACAGCTAAGCTAACTTTGAAGAGAAATGTGTTTAATTTTTTTTTTTTTGAAGCAAATGAACTTAACTCATTTCATTAATGATAAGAGAGACAATACATGGAGGAATAAAATCAAAAGAGTGGTGACTAGCGTAAGATTTTGACACCCTTGCTAAAGTGTGGGCGACCCGATTAACTTGTCTCCTAATAAACCAGAAATGTGTTTAATTTAATCTTATAAAATTTGTTTGTAAAATAAAAGTTCTTCATTTTTATATACTATTATAACTATTGCATTATATGAAATCTATAACACACTCTTTTTAATTACATCAAATATAATTAGACATTATGAACATGAAATTTGAAAGATTAAATATTTGTATATAATCTAATAATCATTGGTCTAATAAATTCAATAATAATCAATAATTATTACGACAGAGACGTATATCATCTCAGGAAATTAAAATTTAAGTTTAGTTAAACTTTATAAAACTAATCACTAAGTGTAAAATAAAGGTTATTCCTACTTATATATCCTAATATGTGTATAAAACAGATGAAAGAAAATAGCATGCAAGAGTTTATAATTAAGGTAGAGAGGATTAAAGTAAAGTATTTATGCATCATCCATTAGACTTACGTAAAAAATTACAGCATGCATAGTTAGTTGTGTTTAGGAAGGCCAGTTCCTATACCAACCAGCCCAAGCAGAAACCAAGCCACTAATCCCAAGAGTGACAGTGTGGTTGCAGAATGGATTCGGCTCAATATCCGCCACCGCTATGAACAAATCCGCCACATTCGCAGCCACCGCCATGAGCCTCATAACCCTATCGCTTCTAATCCTCCGAATCCCCTTCTCATCTTCCTCCGTTTTCTCCTCGGAGCTTCTCATCTTTCTCTCCACCCGAAGCCCCTCCCTCAGCAAGATGAAGTCAGCTATGATGAAGAAAATATATCCCACCGACTCACCAAACGCCGATATGAAGCTCATTCGCCTGGCCAAGCTTGCGTCGATGGTGCCGATTCTGGCGAGCCAGAGAAAGTGGTCGAAGAAGAAGTAGACCATCTCGCCGGCGTTAGCGAGCACGGCGAGGAGTCGGAGGGAGAGGGTGGAGCCGGGGTTGCGGCGGAGGACGTTGAAGCCGGTGAGGAAGCGTCCGGTTCTGAAGGCCTTTCTGCTGAGGCCTGCGGCCACTTCCCATTGCTTGAAGCGCTTCGCCGTGGCCGGGTGAGAGGCTTCCACGTGCCAGTTTACGAGCTTCGACACGTACTGGAAGGTCTTCACGAGCTTGTCGATGCCGTCTCGCTTTGCTAGGAAGATCACCAGTTTGTCCACGGAGTCGTTCATGGTGGCCGAGGCTGTGTTTGGTGCTGCCCACTATATGTTTATTATAAATGCTCAACTTAACTTGCGTCACAGAAGCTGGTTTTTGGATAAGAGGTGTTTGTGGTTGGTTGGACTTTGCTTTACTTGATGCCACCCTTCATTTTATTGAGTCTTTTTGTTTTTTCTGCTTCTGGCTAGGTTTACCTCTATGATTCCATTCTTGTAGTAAAATATGAGTGGTATATATTCAGAAAAGATAATGTACTCGCCTTTCATTGTACTCAAATAGATATATCTAGTAATATAAAAAAAAAATAGTAGATTAATTTTTAAAAAAGAAAATGAAACATGAGTGAAAAATGAAACTACAATTTAGTTTTAATGTTATTATTATACCATTTATTTAATTTATTATCACGTATGTATTGTGAACGTTACAACTCTAATGGTTAAATAATGAAAAATTTAATAGTGAGATTAAAATTAGAAAATTTACAAAATTAAAATTATAAAGTAAAAAATTGAGAATCAAAGTTACAAATAAGAGATTTAAAGTGTAATTTTTAACTTATTAAAAAAGTAAATATTTGAGATTAAATATTTTCTTTATATCATAGCTATTCATTTATTTTAATAATATATTTAATAGTTACAAAAATAACTCTGCATAATTAATGGATAGATATCTGTTGAATCTAGAGAATTGAATTTCTAAATTGACAAAGTGCTTGTTAATTTGGAACTATGTTTGAAATGTACATATATGTACTCTCTTTCCATATCCATAAGCTAAAAAAATGTGGAAGCTACTTCAGATTGCTTCAAGTGGACATAGTTTTTATGTTAATGATGAGTTTCCAAACACACTGGAAAAGTATTATAGAGTCTATCTCTATGGCATATTAGATGTGTTTTGCTATATGGTAAGAACAACGTTTGTAGTCAAATGTGTTTTACTTAGGTTACTCTAACACTGGCTGATGTGCGGAAACAGGTATAATGGTTTAGTTAATCTATACATCAAAATAATAAGGATAATAATACTAGTTAATTTAATAAATATTATTATTTTTTAATCATATTTAAACAAATATAAAGATACCAAATGTTTCGAATTAATATTAAATAAAAAAAGTTAAAATGCATGAGATGCACGTCCATTTTATTTTCTCGCTATTCAACATGAAAATGGATGAGACATTGAGCCCGTAACTTACTTTGCCTACCTACTATTGTCTTGTGCCTTTTTTTTTCTTCCAAACCATGATTGATTAAACATAAGCTTTATGAGAACTACTATGGTCGTCCCTAGTTTGTGTTCACGTTGTTGTAATCGGTTACAAGAGTCAAGAAATATCAATTGATGAATACAGCCAATGTAATCGATTATGAGAATTTCGTAATTGCTTACATTCACTTTATTATTTACTAATATTAAAGAAACACTTCATTTTTTTAATATTTTATTTAAAAATAAAATAAAAGATACTATATTGCTACTTTTTATTGGGTCAAGACAATTACTCAAAATAAAGTTAAACTGAATTATTGTGAGCACAACTTTAATTTGAACTTGTTTATATAGAGACTAATATGTTTACATAAAATTGGACACGAAAGCAAACCACAAGGAGACATTACTTTGGGTTTGAAAAAAATAAATGAAAATTAATATGATTTCCATAGCTAAAAATTGGATTATCAATACTACTACTATAAAAGAGATAAATAAAACCGCAAATGAGTCTCCTTTTTTATTTATTTCTTTCAAAAACCAAACAAACTAATTTTTATTTAAATTCTTATCTTTTTTCACTCACTCATTTTTTACATTTTTTAATTTTTTTTATCTTATTTTTCACCTAATTTTTTTTTCCTCTTGTAACTAAACCGATGGTACCTGCTTTCCGTAAGGTCCCCAATTCAAACGAGAATAGATAGCTAGACAAGACAACATGGACCTAACCAAAACATAAAGGTAAAAGCTTTATTTATCTATTTTATCACAACATAAAAGTAAAACCTAAAGCTTAAAAAAAAAAGACAAATAATATATTTCTTTTTAGACGCAATGTTTATTTTAATCTAGTTTTATATTTGATAAAATTTAAAATACATATAATCATTATTAAATTCGTTCCTGCATTTATGAAAATGGTACCGCGAAATGAATTTAGTATAAAATACTATTCACAACATCTCCGATCCAACATTTTATTTTTATACATTTTAATTGGATTTTATCATTTTGATTATTCATTTTCACTTTTTATAATTCAAGAAATTTTTTTCTCTGATCCGATAATTTTATTTTCTTTATTAAACTAGTCCTACAAATAAACTCTTAACCTTATATTTCATCAATATTAATTATTACTAACTTATTATTATTATTATTATTATTTCATTAAAAGTACACTACTACTCTACTATGCCTGTAAAAAACAATTAACACCATACAAAGCATCTAGTGTCTTACATGTCCTTATTACGCTGGCACTTCAATATGGTCAAATACACTCCTCACATGTATTTTTGTTAGAGATAGTCTAAGAATTAAAAGTATAATAATAATAACCCGCTATGGAAGTTAAATTGAAAATGACTGTACTTGTACATTCATATAAAATAAATTTTTTAAATGAAATTAAAGAAAAAGAACACATTATCATCTAATCACAATAAGTGACGCATTTAGAAAAATAATTTAATGCGAACAAAAAAAAGTCTATAATATAATATTCTTATATTAAAAAAATCATAATTTTTTTACAAAATACATATTTTCATAGGTTTTTATTTATTTTTCTTATTTTATATAAATTATGACTGTTTTAAGACTAAAGCAACGATTTCTATTTTTTTTTCTTTGTTAGAGATTGTAATGAGGTGTGTATTTGTAATTTTGTATAACTTATTTAATATTAAAAAATAAAACAAAATTATTAAAGTTAACTTAATGGTGAAAGATTGAAATAGAATGTATTAAACCTTAAGTTTGAACTCTCTTGTTATTGTGATTTCTATGAACTAAAAAAGTAAAATGATAAAATTTGAAGATTAAAAATAATAAATTTATTATTATTATTATTATTATTATTTTTTATCTTTTATAAATTTTTGTGCTTATTTAAAAGAAAATTATTTTATGGTACAATACCTATTTTTCTTGTGGGGTTATTTATTTATTTGTTAGTATATATAAGTAAAATGTATGAATTTATGGAGATAACACGCATCCATCACAATCTAACATATATATAATAAAATTTGTATTTTTTTTTATAATAATTATAATTATTTAAAAATTATGTTACTAGTAATTTTTTACTAATCGGTCGGGTAATTTTTTTTTTAAAAATTATGCATGCTTATTATTCTCAAAATTAAACTGAAAACAAATATTAAATGTCGATATAAAAACACATTTTAAGTTTTGAACTTGAAAATAAATAACACGACTAAATTAAAGTAAATCAAAATTAGCGGACTTAAAAAATAATAAAAATAACGATAGTGAAATGACTGCGATAAAGCTATGACGTGGAATTCACACACAAAAAAAGCTATAACATGAAACCCTTCTTTAAAAGAAAGGTGCAGTTCTAACATACATTGTACATTCACACTGTCACTCGTTGTCTTGTTCTTGTGTTGTGTAACAATGGCTCAGTTGGAAGCATCTTCTCCTGTTACTGCTTCTTCCCTTCAAACACCAGGTGCCCATTTTTTTTGAATTTGTTTCTTTTCCGAATTCCGAATTTGTTACTTGACATGCAATTGTTAAACACAGGTGCACGCAGTGATACAAAGGTTGTTTCTGAAACCACTAAGGCTGGTGGCCTACGCGGAAAATTGAACAAGGTGGTTCTGGCTTACAGTGGTGGATTAGACACATCAGTCATTGTTCCATGGCTGAGGTACAGAATCACTGATTTCTCTTTAGAAAAAAAAAAGTTTAGATTTTTATTAGAAGGGGTAAATACAGATCAGAGACTATTTTGAGATTGTATAGATGACCTGGTGGGGTTTTAAATAAAAAATGATTTAGTTTTCTAGTAAAGCATGGAAGCTAAAATGGGTGATCTTATATCTTATCCTTGTCAATTTATCTGTTATTTTGTATTCTTTTGTTATAATATTTTATTTAATGATTTTGGTTTTGCAGAGAGAATTATGGATGTGAAGTAGTTTGCTTCACTGCTGATGTTGGCCAAGTATGTTACGTTTTTGAATTCATTTTCTGTAACCAAGATTGTTGTTATGTGAATTGTGTGATTGGAAAGGTGTTTTAAGATTTTAAACTTCTACCAGGGGAATTGCTTTATCCAAATTCTTGCTTAAATGTTGCATGCATGTAATAGAAATACTAAATGTCATAGGGTATACAAGAATTGGAAGGTTTAGAAGCCAAAGCCAAAGCCAGTGGGGCCTGTCAATTAGTGGTAAAAGACTTGAAGGAGGAATTTGTTAAAGATTATGTATTCCCTTGCCTGCGTGCTGGTGCAGTTTATGAGAGGAAGTATTTGCTTGGGACCTCAATGGCCCGCCCGGTAATTGCGAAGGTACTTCTGCTTGAAGTTTAATATATACATCTTCCTTGGTAAAGCCATTTCTTCTGGTAGCTCTTAATGCAGTGTTAACTTTTTTGTATATTGAAGAAGAATCAAGTGATAATAATAGTGGAATGCACTTATCTTCAACCCCCTTTTACCTTTTATAAACATATATTGATTGATCCCTTACTGATTGATAGGCCATGGTCGATGTTGCGAAAGAAGTTGGAGCTGATGCTGTTGCCCATGGGTGTACAGGGAAAGGAAATGATCAGGCATGTCTTACTATTAGGTTCTTAACACTAAATCATGTCAATTATTTTATGCTGACACATTTATATATAAACTCTTAGGTCCGTTTTGAGCTCACTTTCTTTGCTCTGAACCCCAATCTCAACATTGTGGCTCCATGGAGGGAGTGGGATATTACAGGGAGAGAAGATGCTATTGAGTATGCTAAAAAGCATAATGTTCCTGTTCCTGTGACAAAGAATTCCATATATAGCAGGGATAGGAACCTTTGGCACCTTAGCCATGAGGTATATTTTGCTATCTTCAGTATAGCTCTAATTATATTTAGTGTCGAAGTTAGCTTATGTCTAATGATTTGTCATTTTTTTAGGCCTAAGCATTTATTGAATTTAAGGTAAAAGTTTGATGACCTTTCAAAGTAATGGATTTGGATTCTTGGATTCTCGTATGTTACATGACCATTAAGAGGGGTGATAGAGAACAAACTCAACAAAGCACTATTTCCTACAATGAGAGTCATGTAACATGAGAAGATCCAACTATGGGGGCGAGTGGTTGATTATGATAGTGTTTAATGTTTAGTGTGTGTTTGGGAAACATTATTTTCCCACTTTTCAGCTGTTTTTATATAAAAAAAAATGTTTTGTGAAAAAGCTGGTTATTTGGGATATTAGCTGAAATTTATAAACAGTTTTTTTTTTTTTTGAAAAACAAGCTGTCTATATGAAGCTGAAATTTAAAGTTTATGATTATTTCTCAACAACTCTTTTCCTTTTAGGTTGATTAACTACATAAAAATTGATTTTTGTTGTTGTATCAAAAGTTCAAAACAAAATTAGACATTTTAAAACTGTTTATCAGCAAACTTACCCAAACAGAATTCCGTTTTGATTATAATTGATTATAGCAATAATTGATTATTCATATAATCGATTATTAAAATAATCTAATTTTTATAGCTTTTCCAAACACACCCTTATTGTGCGGATAAAATGGAATGTAATGTCATGTTCTGTTTTTGGAATCAAAATGCACCATTTTTTAATCTCATGCTCTATTGTGTTGAATTTTGGAAATGGCATGTTGCTGTTTTTTGATAATTGCAATCTGTGACATTGAAGGGAGATATTTTGGAAGACCCAGCTAATGAACCTAAAAAGGACATGTACATGATGTCTGTAGACCCTGAAGATGCTCCTGATCAAGCAGAGTAAGCTCGTTTCTTGTGATTTCACTTTCAATATAGCCTCCAAGTCTCTGTTATACTTTTATAAAGATGTACTTTTACATTTTGAAAGAACGCATTGTCTTGCAGATATGTGGAAATTGGGATAGAGTCAGGCCTTCCTGTTTCAATCAATGGGAAGAAGCTTTCACCGGCATCTTTACTTGCCGAGCTCAATGAGATTGGTGGAAGGCATGGAATTGGAAGGATTGACATGGTTGAGAATCGGCTTGTAGGTATGAAGAGCCGTGGAGTTTATGAAACTCCTGGAGGAACCATCCTGTTTGCTGCAGCACGCGAGTTGGAGTTTTTGACACTTGATCGAGAAGCAATACAAGTCAAAGATTCCTTAGCCCTTAAATATGCAGAGTTAGTGTATGCTGGAAGATGGTTTGATCCACTTAGGGAGTCCATGGATGCCTTTATGCAGAAGATCACAGACACCACAACAGGTTCTGTGACTTTGAAATTGTACAAAGGTTCTGTTACTGTAACCAGTCGAGCAAGTCCCTTCAGCCTGTACAGGCAAGACATTTCATCATTTGAGAGTGGGCAGATATATGATCAAGCTGATGCTGCTGGCTTCATTCGACTTTATGGTCTTCCAATGAGGGTCCGAGCAATGCTTGAGCAGGGTATCTAATTGTTAATTTCATTTCAATATGTACTGAATTTCCTTGTCCATTTGCTTGTTTAGAAAAGTTGGATTGAAGCTAGAGACTACTGTGGATTGTTAGTAGATCCCTGTAATCCTAATAAAATGAATAATGTTTAATATTCATCCCGAGTTCAAATTCAAACACTAAAGAATCTTTGTTTGTCCTGACTAATATTATGGTGAGTAGTAGTAGTAGAAACACTGGAAGCAGTAACATAAGTCATAAAATATGTACAGACCCTAAACTAGTAGTATAGAAGGGAAGAAAAAAAAAATCCTACTTATTTAGTCCATATGTACTAACATAAGATTGAACCCCTCTTTTAGTTTGGCATTGCAAATTGTAGGTAGTCAGTTAACACTTTAGTGGTTCTTCTCTTTTGAGCTAAAATTTGCGAAGTCAGTTAACACTTGACCTGTTCTTCTCTTAATAACGATTGATAATAACAAATCTATTTATGATGCTTATCCACCAATTTTTTTTCCCTCAATACCTGTACTTATGAAGCTTGTGCTTCCAATACTACGTCAAATACAAACAAATTCAATCCAAGGTGGTATTTTCTCCTGCAATCCCCTAGCCCGCTTTCTGTTTTCCTCATGATCCCAAGTTTTGAAGTGCTCCCCTAGTGGTCTTAATTTCGGTTTAGTTGGTAACCTTGTATCAATAGTTATCTTCTGGAGCTCAACTGCATTCTCAAGTATGTACATAACTAATTCAATTTCGCATGCTGCTCCACAAAACCCAACCAATTCCAACTCTTTGAGACTGTATTGACATTCCATTGTAAATTTGCGTTCTGTTCTAAAGTTGGGTTTGGTATTTAGCATCTGCAACATGCATAAAAGGCAAATTCAGATCTTCAACTATCCTAGTTTTTCAACATGTTTGATGCACAAAACAGTCATAGGGATCTAGATTCCTTGTTGTAACGTTTCCAACATTTACATGGTCAACAACTTGGAACTATTGGATGAAGATCAAATGAAAGATTAGATGCCTCATATTTAGTCTTGGTAAATTAGATTCAAAACACATTTGAGATTCGAGTTGTTCATCTTCATCTAACAGATACAAATACAGTGTGAATGCGTGGGAACTGGGAAAGGTTACTAAAGAATCCCGTTCGGAGTTTATGTATTTTTTAGAGCAACTAGGCCAAAGGATATTCACCTTGAGTGTGAACCTCCATAGTGAAGGTGAGACCTTCAATAGCAATGCACAAGCGCAAAGTGTGATGCCATCATCAACACAGGCAATCAACTCCAAATGCTTGAGACTTTTTAATCTGGGAAGTTGACTTAGCCAGTAAATCTGAAAATAAGACAGAAAAAATGATACCACTCTTGTTGGCAAGCAAAGCAACCTAAAGAAAGTAAGGGTAAAGAAAGGCTACCACTTCAGGTACGTTTTGTGTAATATCCAATTTAAGGACTTTTATTTGTGGAAGAAAGCTTTCTTTAATGAACTCCACAAAGGATCCTCCAAATGTTGCTTCCATAAGACTTGGAACGATCTTAAATTCTGTGTCCAAATGGGATCCATAGTATTTGAATGACACTAAATTCTCAGCAAAAATTTCAAGTTTTACCAGCTCCCAACACCTTACCAATTCTAGACATTTCAGCTTGAGGGATGGACCTGAAACCTTAATAGTTTTTGGAACTACTGAGCTAACCAAGCTCAACGTTTCAAGTAATGGACAGCAACACAGTAAATACTCTAGCATCTCCTTGGTCACAGTAATGAATTTCAGACGCAAAACATGCAAGGAATTAAAACTTTCGACTTTAAACAGGTGCAACGGAAGAACATATTCAAATGAATGCCCAAAATACAACTCAAGTTTTTGAACCTTCTTTTGAATGGCAAAGTGAACCCACTTATCAGTATCACACTCAGTACCCACATGAAACCAAAACTTCAATCCTTGTAGAGTTGAACTCTTGAGTGAACTCAACAATTCATTGATCCAACTTGTATATGTTTGCCTTTCAGCATCGTACATGATCTCCATTGCCATCTGCAAATGTCTTCCTGAAGCCTTCTTAATGTCTTTTTTCATGTCTTTCATAATTGGTGAACCATCAAATTCTAAGGTCCCAGAAAAAAAGGTCCATAGATATCTCCATTTTCTTGAGAGGATGCTGGTCCTAGCAGCATCATTTATTGGCAATTTAGATAAAATGGCTACAGGGATTCCATCTGGCAATTGGTTGATGAGATCTTCACAATCTTCCTCCTTGTTAGCTTTTTCTCTTTTCTGTTTATGATCCATGCTACCTGCATCTTGCATGATCATTCCACCTGGCCTAAATTTTACCAAAATTCATGGATCATCAAGATAAGGAATAGGGAAATTGAATAATTAAAACTGCTAAAGAATGTTCAACAAAAAAGGAGAAAGGAAGGAAAACTAGGGAGCAAATGCAGAAAAATAATTAGTATTCTCCAAGGAATAGGAAACTTTATTGAATATTTATCTACTGTAGAAAGAAACTTTGATGGTGATAATCAAATGACACCTCTTAATTTTGTCAAAATGTTATTAAATTTCCCATCCTAGGCAAATGAAATACTGTAACAAGGCTTTTGAAGATTTGTTTTTGAAAATTATATAAATCTAACAGTTACTAAAGATGTAAGAAGTTTACTGAATAAGCAAGAAACAAAAACAGATACCTCTATACGATTTACTATCTTCTCGTGATTTGTGAATGAGACAGATATCATGGTTATGAATGGTTTTTCCATGGAATGTTAGCAAAATAATCTTAGTAAGTAGGAACCGATTCAAGTCTATGTTTTGTGATCCACATAGAAGAACCTTTTACTATGTTAAGATCCGGAGTATGCTCCGTTGGGGAAGGACCTATTACCAATTTTATTTTTACATTCCGTGGTTCATTTTATATACTTGATTTGCTTAGAATCACGTGATTCTATTCTTAGCACAATGGAATGTAGAAACGGGCTTTCAATTGCTTATTGCTAAACAGTTAACTCTAGTACTTTCTGAGATAAAAAATATGATGCCACATCCGGATCACTTGCTTTCTCTTATTTAATTACATTGTCCAATTTTATTAAAAGTCACATCTCCTTTACAAATTACAAGAATAATATTTGTCGGTTGCAAATTCTACTTTTTATAGCTCAAACTCGAATACTCTTCTCACATTCTGTATTTTTGTAGATATAAATAATGTACTAATATATAAGTTGCATTAATATAACTCATCTCTTTTTAAATAAGATATTATCCATTAAAATAAAATAGTGTAATAAAGCAATAATTAATTTTTTTTATTTACATGACATTGTATAAACTAAATTTATTACGAATGTAAAAGAGAGAATTTATGAATGTGTATTTTATTTTAAAATAAATATAAAAATAATTAAATTGAATATGAGTAAACAGATATTAATTGAAAAGTCATTTTGAATAATAGTAAAGGTAAGACAATTATTTATGAATAATTTAAAAAATAATATAATTTCAAAATAAAATAAAAACAAATATGTCCACGTAAAACTGGACATTAAAGATAATTATCAAAATTAGTGTCATCCTAATTAATAATATTAATAATAAAGTTATAAGTATTTTTAATTTTGTGATTAAATCAATTAATTTCACATTAACATAAAATCAGGGTCAATTTATTTATTTATTTATTTTATCGTTCATGTAATATTACATGTAAAAATTTATTTTTAGTCTCTTATTTTTAAAACAATGATATTTATTCTTTCTTTTTTGAAAATGTGTCAAATTCTTATCTTGTCACATCATACACATGCTAATTTAACATTCTTGGAACAAAATTTGTCATATTAAAATTTAACACATTTTAAAATAATATTTTACCTATTTACGGAGATGTAACCCAAAAAATTATTAAGCAGTGCAAGTTCAGAAGTTTGAGCGTGGTACAATGTTTCACTTTTGATTTAATAGTTTTTTTTAGAAAATAAAATTAAAAAGATATCTATGTGTGAGACCCCCCGTACGGACTTCCTTTTTTCCCCAACTCTCTTACTTTCTAACTCTCATTTTCTCTTACTCCCTCTTGTACCTTGGGTCTCATTCTTCACTCTCTTCATTTTGCTGATTCAAGGTGGTAGTGCGGAGTAGCTGTGGTTTCCTAGCTGAGTTACGAAATCTTCTTTTCTCCTCCTTCGGATTTTTCAAGTTCTTCTTCAACCCTCTTCTCCATTTTCTTCATCCCGAAGCTCGGAATCTTCTACCGAGGTAAGGGAAGCTAGTTATTTTGGCTGTTTTTGACGTGGAATGAGTCTTCGATACTCCTATGCTGTTTGTTAATGGATGATTTCTGGCTGAGATGGATTAAAATTGAATTTTTGGGGGTATTTGGAACTTTGAAGGAATTTTGGGGTTTTGATGATTTGTGTTTGCATGTTGAAAATAAGCTGTTTTTATTGATATTTGATGAGAATGGGAACTTTTGGTTGGATTGCATGTGGATTTGCTGTTAAGTTTTGCAGGATTTGGAAAATTTTCGAACTTGGGGAGAGTTGCTGCTGAGTTCGCACTGGGCGTTGTTCTTCGCGCCGGGCGCGTGACCACCAAGGGACTCTGTTTAGGCAAGCCCGTCGGGCGCAAAGCTGCGTGCGCCGGGCGAGCTTACAAATGGGAGTCTCTGGTTGGCCGCGCCGGGCGTGATATCAATGGTGACATGTCTTAGGTACTTTGGTGCCACGCTAGGCGCGCGTTTGGACTCGCTGGGCGCGGAGGCTCCTTGGGAGTCTCTGCCAAGAGAGCGTTGGGCGCAATGCAAATTGCCGGGCGCGAGACCTTGGTAGGTCTCTGCCTTCCCCATGCTGGGCGCGGGTTAGGCCACGCTGAGCGCACGAGACTCCTTAGAGTCTCTGTCTGGTAGGCGCTGGGCGCAATTAGAATTGCACCAGGCGCGTGAGAGCCTTGGACTCTCGGGTTGAGTCTCGCAAGGCGCGAGTACTCTTACACTGGGCGCGCTGGCCCCTTGTGCTCTCGGGTTGAGCCGCGCTGTGCGCGACCTCGAGTGCGATGAGTGCGCTGGGCGCGCAAGGAGATATTGACATATATGCTGTTGGATGTTGAATTGCGCTGAGATTGTTAATCAATGTTGTTGTATGCTGAACTAAGTTGTATTTGATGTATACGCCATGCTGACTAGGTGATAAAGCTGAGATAATAATGTTTAGCTGTATTAGAGGTATATAGTTGAGCTGGAATCGATGAATTAAAATGTTAAATTATAGTATAGTGGAACTATAGAATGTTGGGCTGAGTCGGGAGAAATAAGTGTGTTGAATTGTTGTGCTGTGTTGTGCTGTGCTGAGTTGGGTGAGATTATAGCCGCTAAGTTGATGTTGATATTAGCCACATATGTGGTGCTATTATAGCCGCTAAGTCGGTGCTGTTATTTCCGCTTTGCGGTGCCGTTATAGCCACTTAAGTGGTGCTGTTATTGCTGCCAAGCAGTGCTAATATTGCCGCACTGCGGTGCTGATACTGTTGAGTGGTATAAGCTATAGCTGTTGTTTATCATATCACCATATATTTATATGTTGATTTTTAATTACACTAGCTTACCCTTTGTTGTTTCCATGATGTTTGGACTGCAATGATCATACTATGTATGAGAGCAGAGCAGGGATAGGTGGATGTCTAGTGGTGAGTCTTCAGCGGACCGGTGGAGCTGATCTCTTTTGTGATTATTTTGTTGTTGAGCTACTTGGGATAGTAGCTTTTGATTGTAATTTTTGTACACTTTAACTCTGTTCAAACTGGATCATGTATATGTATATTCTAGACTCTATATGTATACAGTTGTTCTTTTCTATGCGGTGTTTCTAGTGTGTTGTGCCATGTGTAGTGACCAGCTGGGTCGTTACACTTTAGTGGTATCAGAGCAGTTCGAGTCAGTGGACACTCTTTGGGGGTGGTCCCTTTAGGCTTTTGTTGTGTTAGCTTTGTGCTGTGTTGTCTTGCTGTGATGTTTGCTGTGCTGAATTTGTTGTGATGATTTGTTGTGCTATTGATTGTTGTTTGGTTTAGTTATTTTTTACTAAAGATGCTGTTACTTTTGTAGATGATGACTAGGACCAACGAGCAGATAGCCCGTGCCATAGAAATGATGGCTATGGCTATGCAGCAGCAAAATGCCTATTTTGCTAGGATGGAGGCCGAGAGAGCTGCAACTGGTGCAACAAGACCTACAGGGTCACAGGAGAGCCGGGACCTTGCTGAGTTCCAGAAATGCCATCCCCCACTATTCACGGGAGATGCGGATCCAGAGGCTACTGACCGCTGGATATGTAAGTTGGAGAAGATCTTTGCTGTTTTGGGATGTTCTCCAGAGAAGAGGCTGGCATATGCTGTGTATATGCTGGTGGGAGAGGCTGAACATTGGTGGAGAGGCACCTATCAGATGCTTGCTGCTAGAGGAGTTACAATTGACTGGGAGTGCTTCTGGACGGTGTTCATGGAGAAGTACTTTTCGGAAAGTGTGAGGCATGCCAAGGAGGCAGAGTTTATGCGACTGCATCAAGGAGGGATGACAGTTTCGGAGTATGCGATGAAATTCGAGCACCTGGCTCGTTTTTATTCGTAAGGTATAGCTGAGGCCTGGAAATGCAGGAAGTTTGCTGATGGGTTGAGATATGAGTTGAAGAGGGTGGTGGTGCTTATGGCCATCATTGAGTTCCCGGCCTTAGTGGAGAAGGAGAAAGTTGTAGAGCGGTTGGAAGGTGGTAACCGTGTTGCGAGGACTGCTGGGGGGCCATCTGGGTCCAAGAAGGGTGAGAGTCAGAGGAAGCCGTATGATAGGCCCCAACCACAGCAAGGGAGTCCTGTTATTAGGCAATCTTCTAGTGCTGCTAGTGGAGGTAGACAGAGTGGAGGTGCCACTCTGAGATGCTACAGGTGTGTTGGGCCCTATTTTGTCAGGGACTGTCCACACACGGAGAACCGTTGTTTCAGATGTCATCAGATGGGTCACGAGTTGGCTAACTGTCCTGCTAGGAACAGACCTAAGAGGAGCACTCAGAGGAGTGATGTGCAGAGGGCTGATACTCAGAGGAGTAGTGCACAGAGAGCTGATACACAGAGGGGTGACAGACCCACTACTGCTGGTAGGATATTTGCCTTGACGGGTGCTGAGGCTTCGACTTCTTATGATCTTGTAAAGGGGAAAGGCAAAGCTGCTGGTAAGGATGTGATGATTCTCTTTGACTCTGGTGCTACGCATTCATTTATATCTTATGCATGTGCTGCTATGTTGAGTGTACCTGTGTGTGATTTGGGGTTGAGACTGCTTGTGTCAACGCCCGCTTCTGCTTCGGTAGTTGCTTCTGAGTTATGTGTTGGTTGTCCGATTGTGGTGAATGAGAAGAAACACAAGGAAAACTTGATTTGTTTGCCTTTGGTAGATATTGACATAATCTTAGGGATGGATTGGTTGTCTGCCAATCACATCCTTATAGATTGTGCCAATAGGAGGCTGATTTTTTCCCAGATGGAGGATGAGCTGTTGATTTCAGCTGGTCAAGCTGAGTCATTGCTGAGAGATGGGGCAGAGAGCTGTCTTCTGCTTGCCGCGTTGAGTGCTGAGACCGAGCGGGTCATTTATGAAATTGATGTAGCGCGGGATTTTGCTGAGGTGTTCCCGGCTGAGGTGCCTGGGTTGCCTCCTGTTAGGGAGGTGGAGTTTAGCATTGACTTGGTTCCAGGTGCAGGGCCAGTGTCGGTGGCACCCTATAGGATGGCTCCGGCTGAGCTGGTTGAGCTGAAGGGTCAGTTGGAAGTCTTGTTGGAAAAGCAGTTAGTGCGACCGAGTGTTTCGCTGTGGGGTGCTCCGGTGTTATTGGTAAGGAAAAAGGATGGAGGTAGTCGACTGTGTGTTGATTACCGGCAGCTGAACAAGTTGACCATTAAGAACAAATATCCACTTCCCCGGATAGATGACTTAATGGATCAACTGAGGGGAGCATCGGTGTTTTCCAAAATTGACTTGAGGTCAGGCTATCACCAGATTAGGGGGAAGGAGGGTGACATACCGAAGACTGCTTTCAGGACTAGGTAAGGTCATTATGAATATGTTGTGATGCCGTTCGGTGTGACCAACGCCCCCGCAGTGTTCATGGACTACATGAACAGGATCTTCCGGCCGTTCTTGGATAAGTTTGTTGTGGTGTTCATTGATGACATCTTGATTTATTCAAGGACCCGGGAAGAGCACGGTGAGCACTTGAGGGCAGTGCTGGAGATTTTGAAGGTGAAGCAGCTGTATGCTAAGCTTTCAAAATGTGAGTTCTGGTTGGATGAGGTGAAGTTCTTGGGACATGTGATCTCAGCTGAGGGGATTGCTGTTGATCCGGCTAAGGTGGAGTCGGTGTTGCAGTGGGAACGTCCAAGAACTGTCACAGATATTAGGAGTTTTGTGGGTTTAGCGGGTTACTATCGAAGGTTCATTGAAGGATTCTCTAAGATAGTAGCGCCTCTAACCCAGCTGACACGGAAGGAGCAGCCGTTCATCTGGACAGACGCCTGTGAGAGTTTTGAGGAGTTAAAGCGGAGATTGACCACTTCTCCTGTGCTGGTGTTGCCGGATTCTGGTGAGCCTTTTGATGTGTACTGTGATGCTTCTCACTAGGGTCTGGGGTGTGTGCTGATGCAAAATAGGAGAGTGGTGGCGTATGCTTCAAGGCAATTGAAGAATCATGAAAGGAATTATCCTACTCATGAACTGGAGTTAACTGCTGTGGTGTTTGCCTTGAAGATATGGAGGCATTACTTGTATAGTGCTCGGTTCAGCGTCTTCAGTGATCACAAGAGTATGAAGTACTTGTTTGATCAGAAGGAGCTGAACATGAGGCAGAGGTGGTGGATGGAGTTTCTGAAGGATTATGATTTTCAGTTGATGTATCATCCAGGCAAGGCCAATGTGGTGGCAGATGCGCTGAGTAGGAAATCCATCCACATATCGAGTATGATGATGAAGGAGTTGGAGCTGGTTGAGGAGTTCAGAAATTTGAATCTCTGTGTGGAGTTAGCTCAGGATCACATTAGCTGTGGGATGATTACCATAACTAATGAGTTCTTGAGGCAGGTTGGACTTAAGCAGTTGCAAGACGCCGGGCTAGTGAAGCTTCTTGGTTTGCTGGGTACCGAGAAGGCTGTTGGCTTTGAGCTGGGAGAATATGGAATCTTGAGGTTTAAGGGCAGAATTTGCCTACCTCAGGATGCTGAGCTGAAGAGAGCTGTGTTGGAGGAAGGTCACAAGAGCAGGCTTAGCATACATCCGGGTATGACGAAGATGTACCAAGACCTCAAGAAGACTTTCTGGTGGTCTGGTATGAAGATGGAGATAGCTGATTATGTGGCGGTCTGTCTGACCTATCAGAAGGCGAAGGTTGAGCATCAGAAGCCGAGTGGGTTGATGTAACAGATGGAGATTCCCGAGTGGAAATGGGATAGCATCACTATGGACTTTATTGTGGGATTGCCTAGGTCAGCAAGGAATAGTGATGCTATCTGGGTGATTGTTGACCGGTTGACCAAGTGTGCGTATTTCTTGCCTGTCAACTTCAAGTGTTTCTTGGAGAAGCTGACACTCTTGTATGTGAAGGAGATAGTACGGTTGCACGGGGTGCCTTCTAGTAATATTTTTGACCGAGATCCGAGGTTTACTTCCAGATTTTGGCAGAGTCTACATCAGGCCCTAGGCACGAAACTGAAGCTGAGTTCTGCTTATCATCCACAGACGAATGGTCAGCAGAGAGGACAATCTAGTCCTGTGAGGATCTGCTGAGGGCCTGTGTGGGAGCCCACCTGGGTAGCTGGGAGGAGGTCCTACCGCTAGTGGAATTTACTTATAACAACAGCTTTCATGCTAGCATTGGGATGGCACCGTATGAAACCTTATATGGCAGGAGATGTATGACTCATTTGTGCTGATATCAAGATGGAGAATCAGTAGTTATGGGACCGGAGCTGATCCTGCAGACTATTGAGAAGGTGAAGATGATTCAGGAGAAGATGAAGACCGCTTAGAGTAGACAGAAATCTTATGCTGACAAGAGGCATAAGCCTTTGGAGTTTGCCGAAGGAGAACATGTGTTTCTGAAGGTGACTCCGACCTCTAGTGTGGGAAGAGCGCTGAGGGCAAGAAAGTTGACACCAAGGTTTGTGGGTCCCTATCAGATCATACAGCGTGTAGGTCCCGTTGCTTATCGGTTGGCTTTGCCACCTTCTCTTTCAAACCTACACGATGTATTTCATGTGTCTCAGCTGAGGAAGTATATTCATGAACCTAGTCATGTGGTGGAGTTGGACGATGTACAAGTCAAGGAAAACTTGACATATGAGAAGTTGCCAGTAGCTGTAGTGGATCATAAGCTGAAGGAGTTGAGGGGCAAGTCCATCGCTCTGGTGAAGGTACTGTGGGATGCAGCTACCGGTGAGGCTACTTGGGAAGTGGAGCAGCAGTGCAGGGAGCGGTACCCGTTTCTTTTCCCAAGTAAGTCTGTTTTCGGGGATGAAAACTCTTGTTGTTGGGGAGGATGTGAGACCCCCCCGTACGGACTTCCTTTCTTCCCCAACTCTCTTACTCTCTAACTCTCATTTTCTCCTTACTCCCTCTTGTACCTTGGGTCTCATTCTTCTCTCTCTTCATTTTGCTGATTCAAGGTGGTAGTGCGGAGTAGCTGTGGTTTCCTAGCTGAGTTACGGAATCTTCTTTTCTCCTCCTTCGGATTTTTCAAGTTCTTCTTCAACCCTTTTCTCCATTTTCTTCATCCCGAAGCTCGGAATCTTCTACCGAGGTAAGGGAAGCTAGTTATTTTGGCTGTTTTTGACGTGGAATAAGTCTTCGATACTCCTATGCTGTTTGTTAATGGATGATTTCTGGCTGAGATGGATTAAAATTGAATTTTTGGGATTTTCAGAACTTTGAAGGAATTTTGGGGTTTTGATGATTTGTGTTTGCATGTTGAAAATGAGCTGTTTTTATTGATATTTGATGAGAATGGGAACTTTTGGTTGGATTGCATGTGGATTTGCTATTAAGTTTTGCAGGATTTGGAAAATTTTTGAACTTGGGGAGAGTTGCTGCTGAGTTCGCGCTGGGCGTTGTTCTTCGCGCCGGGCGCGTGACCACCATGGGACTCTGTTTAGGCAAGCCCGCCGGGCGCAAAGCTGTGTGCGCCGGGCGAGCTTGCAAATGGGAGTCTCTGGTTGGCCCGCGCCGGGCGTGACTTGGGCTGCGCTGGGCGCGATATCAATGGTGACATGTCTTGGGTACTCTAGTGCCGCGCTAGCGCGCGTTTGGACTCGCTGGGCGCGGAGGCTCCTTGGGAGTCTCTGCCAAGAGAGCATTGGGCGCAATGCGAATTGCCGGGCGCGAGACCTTGGTAGGTCTCTGCCTTCCCCACGCTGGGCGCGGGTTAGGCCACGCTGAGCGCACGAGACTCCTTAGAGTCTATGCCTGGTAGGCACTGGGCGCAATTGGAATTGCGCCAGGCGCGTGAGAGCCTTGGACTCTCGGGTTGAGTCTCGCAAGGCGCGAATACTCTTACACTGGGCGCGCTGGCCCCTTGTGCTCTCGGGTTGAGCCGCGCTGGGCGCGCAAGGAGATATTGACATATATGCTGTTGGATGTTGAATTGCGCTGAGATTGTTAATCAATGTTGTTGTATGCTGAACTAAGTTGTATTTGATGTATACGCCATGCTGACTAGGTGATAAAGCTGAGATAATAATGTTTAGCTGTATTAGAGGTATATAGTTGAGCTGGAATCGATGAATTAAAATGTTAAATTATAGTATAGTGGAACTATAGAATGTTGGGCTGAGTCGGGAGAAATAAGTGTGTTGAATTGTTGTGTTGTGCTGTGCTGAGTTGGGTGAGATTATAGCTGCTAAGTCGGTGCTGATATTAGCCACATATGTGGTGCTGTTATAGTCGCTAAGTCGGTGCTGTTGTTGCCGCTTTGCGGTGCCGTTATAGCCACTTAAGTGGTGCTGTTATTGCTGCCAAGCAGTGCTGATATTGCCGCATTGCGGTGCTGATACTGTTGAGTGGTATAAGTTGTAGCTGTTGTTTATCATATCGCAATATATTTATATGTTGATTTTTAATTACACTAGCTTACCCTTTGTTGTTTCCCTGATGTTTGGACTGCAATGATTATACTATGTATGGGAGCAGAGCAGGGATAGGTGGATGTCTAGTGAGGAGCCTTCAGCGGACCGGTGGAGTTGATCTCTTTTGTGATTATTTTGTTGTTGAGCTACTTGGGATAATAACTTTTGATTGTAATTTTTGTACACTTTAACTCTGTTCAGACTGGATCATGTATATGTATATTCTAGACTTTATATGTATACAGTTGTTCTTTTCTGTGCGGTGTTTCTAGTGTGCTGTGCCGTGTGTAGTGACCAATCGGGTTGTTACACTATGCATACTTGGTGTTATAACTTAAATGAAAAGAAAAGCTTGATAAATATACTCCAAAAAAGATCGAAAGTATTTATATTTTCATGAGCACGAATCATATAACGTTATTTCAAAGTTGTGGTCCTAATAATAAGGCCAAGGAATAGGTTGCTGAAATTTCAGATAATTTAGATTAGTAGGTTGGAAGGATGGCGTCGAAGTGACGATCTCAATCCCAACTCCAAGCTTCCAGAAAGAAGGAAGAATCTGAATCGCCGAGAAAAAGTGGAAAACCAGGGATCGCAAATTCGTACATGGGTTAAGACAATTAAATAGCCGCTGCGGTTTTGGATTTTTACCTACAAACCATTATGGTTACATAAGAAAATTTAAGAACGGTTTACTTTAATTCAATTCGAATGTATTATGAAATTCAATTCAAATCAAATTAGATTTTTTTTTCTTGATTAGATTCGACTTTTATAGTTTTTTAAATTTAATTAATAATATATAATATTATATATTTTGTTTAAAGATGTGTATGTAAAAAATAAAATTAAAAATATATTTAAACACGAAATTTTTTTGTCACTTAATATATTTACTATTAATTCTTATTTTATTATTTTAGTAAAAATATATTTTAATATAATTTTAGTTATCGTATTAAATATTTTTCTCATATATATAATTTGTTATTTAAAATAAATTTATTTTCTTGTAAAATAATTCATAAATTTATATTCTAAAATATAATTTGGTAGCTTATAATATAATTTTAAAATATATTTTCAATCAAATTTATTATAATGTATATTTGATAAAAATTTAATAACTTTCAATTTTATAAAATATCTTTTATGTTATGTATCTATATTATTTATTTGAAAGAAGAAAAAAAAAACATATCTACATATAAGTATAGTTAAATTTGGTTTGAGTTGATTTCACATTCTTGTTCAAAAAACGAGCTAAACTGCATGATTTAAAAAAATTCAACAGAACTATTAATTTACAGTTTTGTATTAGTTTTCGATTCTGTTAATCAATTTGTGATTTTCCATTTGAATTGGTTTGATTTTAAACGTCTGAGATAATAATATTTTTTTTTCTAGAGGAGTGTATTAACATACGCTTTCAACATAATTTTCATTATTAATTAAAGTTTGTTTTGGTGTAAAAAAATTAAAGTTTTTTTTATATTTATAATCTATTAATTAAAGTTTGTTTAAAAAACAATTAAGTGAATCATTATTTCTTTAATTATTTAAAATCCCGCATTTGGTCATGTCGTGTATAAGTGTATTATATGAGTATAATGGTATGCTAATTATTTTCATAATATAATGGAGGCTCTAGGCCTTGGTAAGGTTTCTGCAGAGGCTTCTAAAGAGGCATATGGAGATAGGTAAGGGGGTGTTTGGTGATCATCAGGCTGTACAATTGAGTGCCCAGATGTCTTATATGTCTTATAGTGGGATGAGGAGATTCTACCTTCTATTTCTTTTCACCACATGGCCAATTTTCCTGAAATTCTCATCTTTCATCAAGAATTTTTGGATTGGTGTAAACCTTGGAAGGAGTGACTGTTATGGGGGAAAAGGTGTTATCAAGATTATTGACATTCCAAAAGATTATTTCCAAGTTCTGTTTACTTCTGATGAGAACTATAATTATGCTCTTATGGAATGGTCAGCAATAATGGTTGCTTATTATATTTTAATCCAATCTTGAATATCATTTTTTTTAGTCACCCAAGTGTGGCATGTAAAGTGGCGGTGTGGTCCGTGTGGATTTGGATTCCTGAATCCTGAGCTTCTCATTAAATTGTTTAACCATTAATTTCTATGACGGTTGGGTTGGGTTCTATCCTAGGAGTCATGCTAAAAAAGTAAAAATTGATAAGACAAGACACATTACATTATCCGTCATTTTTTTACACAAACGCACTTTATTTGTTTACGTTGTTTTTGGTTGTGAGGAAAAAAACATATGATAAATAGAATGGAAAAAATAAAAATGAAGAAAAATAAATAAATATTTGATTGTTTAATTAAAGAAAAATAAATGATAAATATATGAAAAAATAAGATATATATATATAAGATAAATAAATAAATAAAATTTATCGTCTTTTAATTTCTCTCTTTTTTTATTTTTCCTTAATCAAACAACTTTTCTCATTTTCACTCTTTCATTTTTACTTCCTTTACCATATTTCTTATGTATCTTTTTTTTATCAAACACAAACTTAAAGATAATTGTGGACAAGATGTACGAGGAATCCACTTCCACAAAAGGTGGAACACATTTTGAAGAGAATTTTCATTTGTAAGACATAATATAATTATTTTTTATTTTTATAATTTTATAATGCAATTTTCTTATAAAGAAAAAAGATTATGCATTACTTGTGTAAAATATTTATACTCGATCATCCAATCACAAATCACAGTTATAATAACTTTGTTAACTCTTAAAATAATTATCTTAAAAGTGACAATAACTATAACATTTTACTAGTTAACAATGTAAAAGTTTTTACACCATGATCATTAAATTCTTTTATACTGACATTATAATCATTAAGAATGTCTTTGAGAAAATTTTAAAAACTAAATTACTTGAATAATCAATTACATGTATAATGTATTATAATTATAATTAAAATAAATTATTTTAAAAAAATAATTTTAAGGTATTTGATTTTATTTAGATAAAAATACTTTTATGAAAAAGAAATTGAGAACTAATCATATAGTTCAAATTTTTAACCTCATAAAAAAAGTTTTTTTTAGCAAAAACTTATTTATAAATTAAAATTGTTGTTTTAAATATACAATTTTTACCCTAAAATACATAATTAAAATATAAATTATGATTCTTTTTCCAAATTTACTTTAAATCTATGCCATAGCTGACAGTTCATAAAAATAAAAAAAGGATAATGCCATATTTTCTCACATGCTGCGTGACAGTTTCTAAGTTTTATAAAATATTTTGAACTTCTCTTTATTTTTTTTACATCTAGACTTTGTCATAAAAAGTACACTAAACAAAGAATAAAATATAATAACAGCACATAATAAATTTTACAAATCTAAAATGAAATTAATTAGTATTGTTATCAGAAAAACCCAGATAATAAAATTCTATTATTTAAAAATATTAAAAAAAAATAAAGTTGATGGTATTTATATATTGGAGAACTAAAAATAAAATAATGATAATAAATGATAGGACACCACTTTGGCACGGATAAGAACTAATTTAGGTGTAGCCACCGTGTGAGTGTGTTGGCACTTGGCACCGAGCCACCAACGCGTCTTGCATACCCATTGGGTGACCATGCCAATTGCCAACATGCGAAATTGCAAATAAAAAAAAATAGTAAAATAATATTGACAATTCCTTTGACCACATTACTCTCGAATCTCGATTATTATTCTAGGGGTTTTGAACTTTGAATTTTGAAGTCTTCCCCTTTCATTCCGGGGTCCGCGTTATCCACTAAAATCCCAACTACATATGGGGTGACGTCAGTGTTGTTTTCTTCTTCCCCTTCCCCGCAACTTGCAACTTGCAACGCGCAAAACCAAAACTTATATAAACTCCCCAACGTTAATTCCATGATAACATAACGCAAGAGACAGAAATTAATTAAGCACGTGTTTGTTTGCCGCAAGACAGAAATTAACTTGGATGAGGAGAGACAAAGAGTACGAGCGTGTGCTAAGCTACTTCGACGACGACGGTGACGGCAAGATTTCGGCGTCTGAGCTAAGGAAGCGTTTGGGTGGCGAGGTTCTGTTGAAGGAAGCGGAAATGGCGATTGAGGCCTTGGACTCCGACGGTGACGGGTTGCTGTGTTTGGAGGATTTGGTGAATCTCATGGAGGAAGTGGGAGAGGAGGAGAAGTTGAAGGACTTAAGGGAAGCCTTTGATTTGTACGACACTGAACGTTGTGGCTTCATCACGCCCAAGGCCTTGAAGAGGATGCTCCACAAATTGGGGGACTCCAAGTCCACCAAAGAGTGCAAAGCCATGATTAGTGCCTTTGATTTGAACGGGGATGGCATGCTTAGCTTTGAAGAATTCACAATTATGATGAACTGAAATCTTATGCTACTTGTACATTCATTCTGCCACTTTAGTTCGTCTGTCTATAGTTTGGTTTGGTGGATTAATTAATTGATTTGTTTCTACATTGTCTTATGTCTAATTCTTTTCTTAATTCATGGGTTTCTGTTCTTACTGGAATTTGGTCGTAGGGGTGATCTGTCCAGTAAGATCGGTGAACCTCCTTTGCTTGATGTATTGGTGCTCCAAGATGGAGGAGGTACCTGCAAAAGAGACTCCGATGCCAAAGTTAGGGTTTGCATGAGTAATAGTCTCATATATATAATGCACGTACCTTGAGGTGATCTAGGTTTGCCTTGAGCTTTTGGGCTTGAGATAAGATATATCATGATATGATATGATATAATTGAAGGGCAGATCTGGTCTGGGACGAGATCCTCAGAATCAGGTATGATTTGCTCAAATACCGGGCTGGCGTCATGCACCGCGTGCCCGAGGTCACCTATTTGCATTACTAATCCGGGCTAGGAGCCCGGGTGCGAAATACGGTTAGTACACTAGCCCCCCGAGCTCCGAAAGCCGTAGGTCGAGGAGTTAAGGCCGGGCTCATTGGAGGGGAGCGGCTTTTCGCTATACGTTGTCCGAAGGTTTGCCATGTGTCACGACTGTTCATTTCCCGAGGGCGTTCGAGCGACGCGTTAAGGGAAGTGACGGTTGTGTAATGATGGTTTTGCAATAAATGTGTTGTCAGTTGTGCTTTTCAGCCGACACGTGTCGCGTCGGTTTTGAATTTTGGGGGAGAGTTTTTCCTTTTCTTCCACTCGCGCCTCTTCGTTTTTACTCTTTGTCTTTCTTCTGACTTCTCGAGTACGAGAGCTTTTCTTGCTTTCTTGCCTTTGCGCTTCCGTCGTGGTTTTCGGTAACCCCTTCTTTGTTAGGGTTGTTTTCTGAGGAGGAGTACCAGGTACTTCCTTTTTATTTGCTTCTTCTCTCTTTTCATGGCCGGTGGAAGTGGTGCCGGATCCTCTGCGTCTGCCAGGGGCAAGGCGCGTGGCAAGGCGGTGGCCGTCGGAAGGGTCACTGTTGAGGAGAAAGACCCGCCGCCGCCTAGGGGCCCGGAGCCAGGCGTTCCTGGTTACGACTGGATCAAACGCGAGGTGGCTGAGGCTCAGAGCATTTTTCGCTCTATCCTCGAAGTGAATGCGTTTCGGAGAGCGCATAGGGTTTGCGATTCCTCCATCTCCCACCTGATTCGGCTTGAGCCCTGTCAGGCTGATGAGGGCGTGTACATGGGGAGGTCTACTGATCCCTCCCATTTCTATGTATATCAATGCTTTTTTAGGGATTTGGGTGTCTGTCTTCCCTTCACTCAGTTTGAGTGCGATTTTTTGAATTTCATCAACGCGGCTCCTTGCCAGTTGCATCCCAATAGTTGGGGTTTTTTGAGGGCTTTTCAGGTCCTGTGTACAGTTCTAGGTATAGAGGTGTCTCTTCGCGTCTTTCTTCATTTTTATCAGTTGAAGATGGGCGTTCCGCCTTATGGCATTTTGTCCCTGAGCGGGAGTAGGGATGGGGGTTTGTTTACTCCCTACTCCCAATCGTATAAAAATTTCAAGCAGGAGTTTTTCCGGGTCGCCCTCATGGGTGTTGACCCTTTGGAAGATGAGGTGTTTTACTTCGTCGGTTTGCCGAGGTTTCCGTTCTATTGGCGTCCCAAACCGTCTAGGTTTCACGACTTGGGAGATCAGAAGGTGACGGCCACGGAGGCGGCCGCCATTAAGAATCTTGCGGCGCTCCCTCGTCCGCTGGATTGCAAGCTCGTTCTGTCGCTTGCAAATTCGCCTTATAGGGAGAGGGGCCTAGAGAGTGAGTATTGCACGCTTCAATAGATTGTCGGGCTTGTGTAGTTGCCTTTTACTGATGTGCTTCTATTTCTTATCTGCAGGCATTATGGGGAAAAACTTGTGGCGTGAGCTTAAGCACCGCTACAACATTACCGAGCTCGAGGTTCCTAAGCCTCCGGAGGAAGATGTTGCCCCCTTGAAGGCTAGTCGGAAGAGAAAGAGGCCGAGGGAACCTCAGTCCCTCCAGGAGCCGAGGAGGTGATCTCCAAGGCCGCTGATGCTGATGCGGTGGATCTCACTGAGAGTCCACCACCCCAGGTGGCTTCTGAGGAGGTGGCTCAGATTGCTGAGCCTACTGGGCAGGTCGTCGAGGTGGAGGCCCAGACTGCCGGGCAGGCTGCCCGAGTTGCCGAGGTGGTGAGTATCGTCTTTCTCGGACTTTCCCTTTGCCTTTTGTTATGTTGTCTGGATGTCCGATCTGGGTGATTTTTTGCAGGCAGGAAATACCGCTGAACCTGAGGTGCAGGCTGCTGAGCATGGATAAAATCTATTAAGAAACTTATTTTCCACATCACCTCAACTTGTCAAACTTTGATTAGGGTGAGATTGTAACCAAACTTTAGCTTTTCTTGTTAGAGAAAATGGAAACAACCTCAAGTATTCAACTTCCTCATCACCTTCAGGAATTCCCATAGTTCCACATAACTCATAGAAATTTGAAAAGTGTGAGTATGGGTCCTCATGATCAAGGCTAGCAAATTGTTGGGAGCTCACCAAAGTAAGGAAGTCAGGATTCATCTCCATAGCTCTAGAAGTATTTGGAGCTGCAATACTGGAGAAATGCCTAGGACCATGTTTTTGTGCGTACCTAGGGTCCTTCTTGGAGGCCTGGCTGGTCCATGTCCACCATTATGAGTTCCTATTCCCTCTTCAGCCATTTCTGATTCAAGGAATGGTTGATTTGATTAAGTAGAAGAACTCGGAAGATCTTGTTGTTGTTTTTGGAGTCTCTCCAACTGTCTAAGCCTTCTTGTCCTACTGCTGTTCCTCCTTTCCGTTCTTTCAATTTCAGGGTCAAAATGTAATTTCTCGGCTGGGAGTTTTCCCTCGCATACAAATTCAAGAAGTCTGCACAACAAGGTGAGTCCACAAAACACAACAAGAAAAATGTATCTATATATTATAAATATTCACAGAATGAATTATTTAAAAAATAAAATCACAAGAACAAGAATTACTAAATTGCACCAAATCCCCGGCAACGACGCTAGAAACTTGATGAGGTTTTTGCGAACACTCCACTTGGCAAGTGGACCAAGTTTCGTTGTAGAAATACAGTATCATCCTCAGAGATTTGGGAGATTAGTAATTCTTACTCTAATGATTAATAAAGAGATGTTGATATAATTTGGAGTGAAATAATGTGAAGCAAAATTTTAGCAAAAATGTAAAAGTTCTAAGAACAATTATATAAAACAAGGATTGGATCCAGGAGCACTTGCTAACTCTTAAATTTTCTTAAAATAAATATGATTTCAATTTCATTACCTCCACGTTCATTTAGTAATCCAACAATATTCCTCAAAGTTGAATGCTAAAGTAATTAATCTAAAACATGATTCCTCTATGTTTTGAGTTTAACACTTTGCATTAAGACCAATGACTTGAACAAGGGTGACTAACCAAATCAAGCCTATTCCTAGAACAAGAGATGGTTAGGTGCAAGACACAGTTCGGGTTTTCAAAAATGTTTTCCAACGGGATTCAAAAACCAAAGATTCATACAACGGTTGATTAAGCCGATATAAGCATTAAAAGTAGAATTAAGCACAAGCAATGAAAATGAAATGCATATATAGATTGAAGAAATAGAAGAGTTAGTAGTTACACCAGGACCAATCCTCAAAGGGTTTAGCCACACAAGGCCATTACAAGATAAAAGAAGTGAAAGAAGAGATTACAAAGTGAAAGATGAAGACAAGAGATTGGGCTTCGTTGCCAAATGACCCAGCTGCCCAAATCTTCGTTCTTGCTCTACTTCATTGGTACACCCAACTACTAGCCGGATCCATCGACAGCTTTGCCACCTTGATGCGGCGATTCGTGGCACAATACGGCACCAGCCGGCCTCACCACACAACCTCGGCCGCCTTGGCCAACCTCAGGCAGAACGATGATGAATCTCTGCGAGCTTTCATGGAGCGCTTCTCCAACATCTCGGTTCGGATCCGGAATCTAAACCCGGAGGTCGCCCTGCACGCCATGCTCATGGCACTGAAACCCGGATCGTTCGTCGACAGCCTATGCCGCGACGCCCCCCGCGACATGGATGAGCTGCGTGCCCGGGCCGCCGGCTACATTCAGATGGAAGAGCACTCGGCCTTCCGCGACCAAGTTTGCGGGAAGGGCCCCGCAAAACCGGAATAGGACCTCAGAGATAAGGTAAAAGTCAATAATGACAGCCAATTCAAGAAGCCGACCAGAGCCAACAGAAGCGGGAGGTATGAATTCTACACTCCCCTAAACGCCCCGAGAGTCCACATCTTGGAAGAAGCCAGTAACAAT